GGCGAAGACAAGATGCACCGCCACAGCCCACAACCAACGCAATCATGTTCATCACCGCCTGCATCAAGATCATCGTGCCGGCTATCGCAAGACCGTCTGACCTGTACTGGGCAACATGTGCACTCATTCTGAGCTTTCTATCTAGCACCTGTATCCAATAAGCCGCAAGCCATGACAACTCTACAAACATTCGCTTCGTTCTTGCTACTACTCCAGTTATCTGATATCATCACAATTATCATTGACTCTTTTGTAACTTCGACTATCGCCAGTGCCATCACCTTCTGTGTTGCTACTGCTATGAGGAAACTGCGAGCTGTGGTGGTAAAAAACTAGAGTGGGCTTTTCAAGGTGGCTTCTGAGGATAGCTTTGCACTTTGGCTGGCGAGTCCGTTCGTTCAATTGGCGCCTCGATGGTTGCTGCTTGCTTGAGCGCTTCCGCCGTGACCTTCACGCCATTGGTGCAGACTGATAAAGCTATCACGTTTGAAAACGCCGTCTTGACGAACATCGACCAGGGCAGGATGTATGAAGACATAAATTTTGCTCCAAGATGGAGCACGGTTTGCAGCTGATGATGCAGGTTCAGCCCTCAGTGCGAAACAAGCAGCACGTCGCGAGCACTGAGGAGCCCGCGTCAGAGACATCGCCGGGCGTTCGGAAGAGAATGTTGATCTGCCGCGGTATGGTGCTGTCTAGCTCAAGGTTTGCGGCGCTCAAACTTCGGGGTTCCAGGTTCCACTGACCCTGAGCTTTAAACCCATCATAAGCCCAGCCCGAGTGTTTCAGGTCGTGCTTTAATAACCAAGCGCCTACCAGATGGTTTATCGATGGGCAGATTGCTTTCTGAAGCCTCCATGCGGGAGCAGCATGCTTGGACCGCTCCTGCACTGGGTTTTGCTGTATTTGTTCGGATTTCTTACAGGAGCATGAACTTCATTCAGGCTTAGAGCCTTACCGTGGCTACTCAGCGCTTAGTAAAAGCTTACCCGATTATTAACTGTTCCTCTGATAGGTTTACAGGCCTTGCATGGAAAGACTACACGAGTCTCATGGTTCCGACGTATTTAGTGGGCACTGTGCATGGACAATTTCCAAATGCACTCATTAGTACCTCCTAAGCCCATGTCCGAATGAAGCCAACTTTGTGCTCTATGAGTTACAAGGAACCTAGTCATCAAGGGACATCAAGCAACAGGCCCAGCCTCGTTCGCAGAGATCTTGCTCCAATGCCTGGTGGGTGTTCGCCCAAGCGTTCATTTGAAACATCTGGGCCTTTTTGGGGTCCTCAAGTTGAGTTAATCTTCGTCGCGGCTATATAAAACTCCTGACATCGACAAGACACGGACCTAATTTGCAGCCTCATTTCCGTCTCATGAGGGTTAAAACCTGGATAAGGTACCCGTTCTTTCGGGACCTCCGTTCTGGAGAAGACAAGCAACAATACTACGAATTCTTATTGCTCGGTCCGATCTGTCACCGGAATCGAGGATCAGGTTTCCGTGCTTTGCGTTCATGATTTCAGAGGGATCAGGTTTGGGGTTCTGCCTTCTTTGATCATTTCGGACATCGTGGTTTGTGTAGCTGGCCGTGTTCAACACTTTCCGTATGGAATTGCTTAACCAACGATCAACATTCTGTTTTACAAATGTAGACTACGAAAAAGATAGGATCCTAATTGTAAGACGCCCCTGGCAAAGTACTCTGAATTTCAAGAACATCCCAATCCACAGACCCTCCAACTGAACGAAAGGCTGCCAAGGCTGATGGCTTAGGCCTGTCACTTTGCCCGAAGGATCCGGCTTGTGGTGGTCCTATGCTACGGTTCACATTTTGAGAATATCTCAAGCTCTCAGGCCGAACAGCCTGTTTTTTGGAAATCGATACCCTGAGCCAACTTTGTGTTGTTAAACAACCTGAAAGGCCACGCCCCGAACCCCCAAACAGCTACAGTTTCAGCTGGCTTTCAGGGTTCAGGGTGTAAGTAATACGATTTCAGGATTAACCGACGCCATATCTCAAAGCCCAGACACGACCAGAATTGCGATGTTTTTGGTATCTACGAAATATAATACAGCCAAGACGAAACGCTGGACATGTAGGATAGAAAGGAAGACTGCCCCGCGTAATTATTGAATACTGATTTTGGGGTTGGCGCCTCGCCAAGGCTGCGAGGGCTGCTGTGGACGAAGAGCCGAGAGCACTTGCCAGTGCTTCCTCCGATATGTCCCCGTGGTTCTTGCGCGTGTTTAGTATGTAGGCTCGAGCTCCAACGCCTAGTAGGGGTTCAGGGCGGTGTGTTTTTCGGGCGTGTGCCTGTGGGCGGCGATAGGGCAATGCTGTGTCTAGTGGACAGGGCGTTTGCAGTTTAGCATTCTCGAGTGTAGGGTGTGGGGAGATTCGGTTTCCTTTGAACTCTCTTCTGATGGCTTCGGATATAGAGGGTCTCTGAAACTTCTATCGGGACCCTGGCACGCTGAGTTCAGCACGTAAGGGTGTAACATCTGCTTGTTCTTTTCTTGGGTGTTAGTCAGTTAGCCAGGAAGTCTCTCATTTAACCTCCAGATTAAAATGAGGCTGCTGAGTCTTCCCGTGTGCATGCTCAAACGGCTGATGCCGGCATGCTGCCTCCTCAGCGACCAAGAGGGCATGCCTGACCTGAGACAGACTGCGCAGGAGGCGAATCCAATCGACGCGCGACAGCCCCCATTTGGTGTTGACAATGTCGGCCTTTGGGGTGTGCTTATCAGTCTTGTTTTGGGGGTTTGGCGTTTATGGTGTTTGGCGCGCAGTCCAGCCGGAAGACAACTGGGTCCGAGTCGACCTGCTTTTTGGCGAGCAGACGTGCAGTTTTGCACGGACCGCCTGAACTTCAGTGGTTGCCAGCTTGCTAAAACTCATGTCAGCCCTTTGGTCACTCTGGAACCATAAGGCTCCATTTGCAAATGATTTCAGCTGGTGCTTGGGTATTCTGTCCTTGCAAGGCTTGTCGTTGTCACTGGTCTTACGACGATACTCAAAAGTTTTGAGCTTGTTGCCGTGGTGTTTTTTTGCAATCGCGACTGTGATGATGTTCAACAAAATCTTACAGATCGATTCTCTGTCTCTGATTAAACTGAAACCACCCTAAACCCTCAGTCCAAGAATATTGAGTTGCGGATGCCAGCAGACATCCAGGTCCGAGGCTGTGCTGGCTGCAAGGTAGGCGGTGGCCAAGGCATAGGCTGGGGCATCTTTGGCCTCCAAAGCTACACAACCCCAGCGTCACGAAAGCTTTGAGAGCAGCGAGGCAAGACCGAACATGACCTCATCAGTCCATCCGTTCGTTCAGTCATTCATTCGTTCATGGATTCACCCATCCATTCAACCATCCATCCGCCCATCCGCATCCAGTCATCCATCCTTTCGTGCAGCCCCTGGACCAAGAATCCCCGATAATCCTCTCTAAAACCGCTCCATAAACCTTCCGAGCAACCATAGCATCCAAAGAGCATCAGGAGATCATCAAAAGACCACCCACGACGAGAACTGCGACCAGGACGACCCCCACTATGACCACCAGGAAGCCAAGAACAGGCCAGGAGAAGATCAGCAGGAGACTCCCAAGACAGGAGCAGATTACGAGGGCACTGTCAAAATGCTTAATTTCATGGACCGGCGCAGTGAGGAGTACGACCAGAATAATGTGCCGCAAGTACTGGCGAGAATCAAGAGATACCAGGAGCGGAGGTCGCTTTCACCCAAGCACTGGTGGATCCAGGACCAGCGCGAAACAGCCTTAAACGTTCCCCCGAGGTTTTTCGAGAGCAGGTGGTCCACGTATTGTTATTTTCTAAAATCATAACAGCAAGCCGCACAGATTCGCTGTAAGCTACGCCTTCTCATGAAATTTAGGAACATCCGACGAGTACTGAAGGTATGCAGACATGGCGCACGCCAGGCCCACCCACCATATTCGCCCCACAATTCAAAATCACTTGCTGTAGCTTCGCACAAAAAACGATACTCACCGCTTCATCAAGCAGAGCAGATCATGCCGAATCACACCTGGTTCTACGAAGTTTCTGGAGGTAGGGATTGATTGGTTTCTCAGGCCTCCAGCAGCTTCTGCACCCATGCCTGCAGCATTTGACAGTCTGTTTTGGCGTTGAATGGTGAAGGCTCGGGAAGGTGAATTGGGACTCGTGGCGCAGCTTGGGCTCGATCCTTGCTTCTGCGAAAGCACAAATCGGCTGTGTTGGAAATTGAGATGGTTGCTGCAAGAGACACTGGTGCCGTCACGTCGGGCTGTGCTGGTTGAGTGAATGCATGCTGCTCGAAGGTTGCAGCCTGGACGCGCCCGAGCCTCCAACAAGAACATAACTTGAACCTCGACAAAGCCAACTGTCCGAGTGGTAGATAACGGCAGCGAAAAAACACGCCGTCAAATAGTGTGTGAATGTTCTACTCTCACCACGACTACGTCACCCTGGCAAACGACGTCGACAGCGTGCGTTAAGGCCACAAAGATTAAAACATGTTGCAAACAACAGCTATACTGTAGATGAGGCTGTCGGCGTTGCAGAGCAGACTAAACAACGACTTCATCTCTTTAAAGAGCAGCGATGCCGTCTCTCGACAAGGATTTGGAGAGGATGGCACAAAGACTCAGCTTGAGTGAAGTCCATGGACGGATGTCCATTTTGTCCAGTCCGGCGCATGTTACGTCAAGCCAAAGGCTCAAACGCCCCAACGAAAGAAACTCCGGAGCTTTCAACCTCTGAAGCCACCGAACCCGGACCCGAATTCGGAGACAGTTTCTTCGACTCCAGAGCCTCAGCCGGCTGTTGCATAATCACTAGAGATCACGCCCTGCAGCGCAACAAGACCTGTATAAGCAAACGTATTCGGCACGGAAGCAATCGCCTCCTCGTATACTCTGTGCCAGCCAGAAGGGCGGGAGGCATGAAAGGCTCTGTTTGGAACTCTGCATCCCGCAACAACTTTTGCCAAAGCGAAGTTCAGTGTCCAGCCTCCACCACACGTGCCAGATCCTTGCAAGATTCCATGTCTCCCAGCGCAGCGGCGTGCAGCGGCAAACCGTACCTCAAATGATGAACTTATGAAGCTTCTTTGCATCATGTTCAGAATCTCAATGCTTGTCTAGCTTGTTGGCGCATTCTGCTACGTCTATTCGAGGGGTATCTTGTATCGACGATTGCCTCCAGCCTACCCTGGTGTGAAGCGACTCATGCAAAACGATGTCTAAATACTTGACGTGACGGTCTGTCATTCGCCAATCCCGACGGAACCGTATCCTCTGGTTTCTGGAATCTCGGCTGTAGGCCCATCTCCATGCAGAACTGAACCCTTGGTAACCCTAGCCTCGACCCTCGGATACGATGTGTCTATATGGGACAATGAACAAAGAGGAGTACTAGTCCTAGTACTGGTACTCGTCGTCGAGCAGCAAGAATACGGTAGCAGCAGTAGTGCCAAGGGCAACAACACACACGGGATTGGCACGACGGACATGACAATGGGAAAGACACACAAGCACAGCACGGCTGCAGTGTAATGGTTGAACTTCCTCCACTGATTGCTGAAGTTCTACGAACCTACTGATTCGAACAAGTCTTTGCACTGCTGGAAGCAGAAAATGCCAACCACCTGGGTTCTTGCTTGAGGGCCCTTGTGGTGTGTTGTTGTAGCGCTACATCTGAAACACAGTTCGTTCATTGGGATGCAGCCAAAGGCTAAAACCTTAAGGCCGAAAACTTGAAACCCAACTTGCGAACAGAAGTGGATGGTAAGCGGCTAGCACCGAAGGGCTAGTGCTGGTACAGTACACTTTCTTCAGTCGTAAAATGATTATTGCTATACTGTGCCACCTGCCACCGTGTCTCTGGCTTCGTGCCTGAAGGAATCTTCCTAGCAGGCACAAGAAGTCCTGTCCTCGTCACCTATGAATGCCACTTTCCATCGCATTGCTAGTTCTGCTAGTTGGTTAGGTGATTCAGCGTTTGAGGCTTTGGGGTTTGGGGCTTTCGAGAGTTGAACCGGGTGCCGCACAATATCTGCAGGCGCACCTCAATGTTGGAAGGACCTTGAGCAATTGGAGCTGCCGCAACCCTAAAACCCTGCGAGCCCAGGGCTTTGGGTTTGGGGTCTTTGGGTTTGGGTTTTGGGACATCATGTTTCAGGGTTTGGGGCGAGGTTGGTGAGGGCATTCTGCTACGTCAAGTAGCTTACACACCATTAAGGTCAGAGAGCTAGGGTTGCCTCCGCTGGTGAAAACTACATCGAAACATCCAAGGACGCCGCGAATTTCCGCTCCACCACTACGGAGGAGGTCAGTGTCCGCCAGCAAACCTCAGATACTCAATGGGCAAGGGCATAAAAGACTTAACTTCGAAACAAGTCTGGATACACATATACACGATAAATGCTGGTTATCCAAGGGCTCAGCAGCGAGGAATCCACCGTGTCATGAGTGTCCAGTCACCCTCAGGACGACTTTGACGTTTGTTAGGCGACTTTCCTCGTTCAGACCAGTTCATTCGTTGTGGTAAGACCACTGCTCTCATCCTCCACCATGTCTTCCGAACATCTACCGTACTTCTCCGTGCCATCGCCGCCGGGTGTCGTCATGGTTCGTATGGAGCTCAGGTGCAGCAGAAAATCGGAATGCACATCTCGAGGTGCGGCTGCAGTTTGGGGTTCAGGGTTAATAGCTGGGCGGGGTTTACACTTTCAGATTTGGGATTTAGATCCATGAGCCCGGTACACCCTTAGGAAAGAAAGTCGAACGCACTCATCGTATGCCGCCTCGCGAGAGTGCAGTACCCATGTGCTAAGTACAGGTTAAAAAACTGAACACGAAGGAATGACCAATCCGGGTTCCTTCTGGAGTGACTATACGAAGAGTTTTCCTTCTATTGAGAATTTGAAAACCTACTGGCTCAAGCACAGCCGTGCACCCGGCGTCGCAAGGAGGCGTCCAGTTGTCGGCAGGCCACCAGGACCTGAACCACAGGCCTACGCACCCCTAAACCTAAGCGCATAAACTCACCTCAAACCCCACAACCACAAGGCTTTCCCCGGGAACTCTTCGAACAACAAGACTCGGGGTTCAAATGTCAGAGGTGCCTTACCACCGCTTCTACATGGCCCAAGGGTTGGGGCACTTAGGTTATGGGACTCTTGTTGGAAAAACATGAAGGCCCTTGGGGTAGACCCGGGTAGATCCATGCCCAAACGATTGAAAACTGTCGTGCCCGGCCACGGGACTATGCAAAGTAATATTGCCTAGTTGTGTGCTAAGTGCTGACCCCTATAGGTTTTCAAGGCAGTTCTGCTCAACGCTTTCTTTGGCTCTGTGGAGCCGGCCGAGCAGCCAAAAATGAATTTCTAAAGTTATTGTGGGTATTTCTTAAGCTTGTAGGAACATGTTAAGAGTCGTTGTGCTACGGACCGAAGCATTTAGTCTAGGGATCCCTAGACACGGCCTCCTGACTTGGGCAACTCCCAGACACAACTAGGCATGTGCCTTACTGCTAGCCTGCCTCCCTGAATTCAGGCCTATGTAAGTGACAGTGGTATGTATATGCACATATGCACACATATAGACAGCGTCTATACTCATCTAGCCAGATACGCACATGTACGATGCGAGTATTACAATGTGTAGGCATGAACGACTGCATATACACATACCGCACATGCTTGCACGGATTCATGTACACAATGGGTGCGTGCAACCATGATACAGCTTAACAATGCGAGCTACAAACAAACCTGACCACGGGACCAGCAAACGGACACACACGTACATATATGCATATACATATATATATATATATGTGTATAAGTGAGATCTATGTACAAATATAATGAACATAAACATAAACAAACTAGCGAATGAAGCCACCTGACCTGTTAAATAGAAATGTACACAACTGCTTCTTTGTCGAATAGATGTTCCTATAAACAAAAACAATATAATTATGAGCGAGCTACGGTCTCATTGCAATATGGAGTACGCACTGGACGACGGGGCGAGATGTAATCCACATGCGGGCGCAGCAACTGTATCGACTACCCTACACAGTCTACGCAGTGTAACTCACAATTGACGACTATGTTCAAGATGTACGATGCATTGCAGGTTTCTTTCGTGACGAGCAGCATGCGCTGATGCTGGAACAGACACGTCAGCATCTAGTTGGGAATGTATAGGTAGACGTGTGTGTGTGTGTGTGGAGGGATGCACAGACGGATCCATGGATGAGTGATGGGAAGTTTGCATTGCCTGCACATTCCCGATCCGTTTGGTCGACTTTTGTGTGTCTGTCCCTTTGCATGTGTGGGAAGTAGTGCTAGGATATAGACGAAGGTTCCTTTACAGTGTGCAACACTTGGCTTCCTTGAACTCTCGACCATTCCTGGATGTGCAAAGACTGCAAAGGTTGCAAGATGCACCGCAGCTCGGCAGCTCACAATGGAACGAACTTTACGTCGGCTGCTTCTACGTAAACCTATTTTGCAACCTGACAACAGGCCTGTTAGCAAGACCGCGTTCAACCTGATTTCTCGAACTGCTCCTGCTCTGAAGGCAGCTCTGGGTCGGCGGCCAACTCCCTGTCCTTGGCCTGCCGAAACGAGCGAGGACAGTGCCACAACGCCTAAGGCAAACCTGAAAGACCTCAGTGAAAGAGTCGGGGGCCTCAGCGTGGGTCTCTAGTCTCTAGGGCCTCTGGACGATGAGTGATCAAGGTGCTCCTGCTCGAGGCATGCTCCAATCAGCTAGGTTGGCCTCGCGCTTGGACAAGGGCTCCAGAAGAGCCTCCGGCTCGCATCTCGGGATTCTCATGCCTATCTTCAGGGTTTAAGGATCTATGTTTGTGGCTTTGGGAGAAAGGAAGGGAAGACCTCAGCTGTCCTCAGACTTTAGATGGGCCCTTCGACTCGAATTATCTCGAATTTATATCCCTGATGGCTCCACGAGAATTACGCCCGGCGAAGTTTGCATCTCCAGCATTGGAAATCAGGGGCGATGCAGCTCTCGAGAAAGACCCTTTAAAGCTCAGGCCAAGCTTTCGAAATCAAGTCTTCACGATTGCTTTGCTGTTTGTATGGCATGAATCAGACTTGAGGTCTTTGGCTATGATCCCGGTGACCCCTCACTATGCTCTGGGTTTGCCAGGTGCTTTTCAGAGTTTTGGCGGTTCCTCTTAGGATCCCACGCCCTAACCTGGACCTACACGCCCCCTTAGACTCATCAGCCCCGGGTGCATAGACTCTTAGAAGACTCTCATACTAAGACTTTCCCCATGCCAGTAACAGAAAAGCCGCTCACTGAGCACTTGGCGCATGATGATGTTCACCCCAACTCTTCGGGTTTAAGTCACTTACAAAACGGTTTCCCCCGCCCCGGCCTACCATACACCTGAGCACGCAGCCCTAAATCCCAAACCAAAACTTCCCCACCCAAGAACCGCGAGGCCTACCTGACTCAAACCCCCAAACTATCCAGTACCCTTATGGCCCAACATTTCGCCTAATGCTCTTGGAGCCTTAAAGAGGTCCGATGCTTCTGTTGGCAGAACCTGGAACGGCATATCGGGTTTTCAATAAATCGGAGTACCCCATCTACGGCTTTTGGGTCTCGAGCTTCGCGTTCGTATAACAAGGACCCT